GGAAGAAAGGAAGAAAGGAAGAAAGGAAGAAAGGAAGAAAGGAAGAAGGAAGAAAGAAAGAAAGACAGACAGACAGAAAGAAAGAAAGAAACCTCTTTGACTAGTCAGAATTTGCTTCAGCTTTGACTTGGTCAGCTACCTCGTGCTTTTTCGTGGTGTGTCGGGGCCTTTTTATAGCGACATGTTGGGACAGTTTTTTTGGCGCGCAGCAACTTGAATAATCCGTCCTCCAGCTAGCCAAGGTATTTTCCGCGCGCGTCGACGTCAGCGCGCATCCGGCCAGCCACTCAGTCGGTCTTGTACGCAGAGTCTTTTTGCAATCGCCCTCTGGACTCGTTCTATGCTTCGCCCCGCCGTGGCCTTTTTTCTATCAAAAATAGGTATTTGTCACGAGGCTATTTAATCTCATATACAGTCGTTCTGGATGATGGTCTCAGCACCTGCAGGCTTCAACTTTGTGCCGTCGCAACCTGAGCTTTCTAATTTCAATTTCAGCTCCGACGCATTCAAGTAAGACATGCGCCTAGCATTCCAAGGCTCAGGACACCGCTTTCATGCGAAAGCATGGGCGGCAAGGGCTCGTCAAGTCCTCCGCACGGTGCCCTTCCAGCCAGATAACCAACCTTCACTGGGGCAAGCGGCTGCAGGCAGGGATAAACGCCAGAGATTTGCCGCCTTTCATGGTCGGTTGCTTTTCCAGGCACGCTACAGTCCGGCGCTGCTCAGCAAGAAGGCGCGCCGTAGTTCATGTGGAAACGTGTATTTGTTTGTGAGGGATCGGCTGTCATGTGTACACCAGCTGCAGTTACATGTATGAGTTTTTGCTTCTGGCAGGAGCGTAATCGCTTGGCCCACGCGACCTGCGGCAACGCGTCCATGCCGGAGCCTGAGGAGCTGATTGTCAAAAAACAGTGCAAATTGCCTTGCAACATCAATCGTTTCACGCGGTTTTGACCAAGGGGAGCCAGTTCCTGCCCGCTGTTGCGCTCACTGTATCAATTTCCAAAGCGTGTCAGACTGCGGATTTCGCGAGGACCGCAATGTGTTGGCCCACATGGTCAACGGGAACACGGCGTCGGCGCCCCGATCACTATTCAGATGCTTCTGCAAAGTTCGCTGCGGCGATTGATTTCTGTTCGAGCGCTCTCACGCTCACGCTCACTCTCACTCTCGCTCACTCACACTCACACTCACATTCACATTCACATTCACACTCACACTCACTCACTCTCCCACTCCCACTCCCACACCCACTCCCACTCCCACTCCCACTCCCACCCCCACCCCCACTCCCGCCCCCACCCCCACCCACTCCCACTCCCGCTCCCACTCCCACTCTCACTCTCACTCTCACTCTCACTCTCACTCTCACTCTCACTCTCACACCCTCACCTTCACTCTCACTCACACTCTCACACCCTCACCTTCACTCTCACTCACACCCACCTTCACTCTCACTCATACTCACTCTCACTCTCACTCACTCACATTCACACTCACACTCACTCTCTCTCTCTCTCTCGTACTCACACTCGCGCTCACTCGCTCTCACTCGCTCTTCCACTCACTCACACTCACACTCACACTCACTCTCCCTCTCACTCTCACTCGTCACTCGCACTCACACTCACTCACTCCCGCTCTCACTCGCATTCACACCACTCTCACACACACTCACCCTCACCCACACTCACTCTCACTCACGCTCACTCTCACCCTCACTCTCACTCGCACTCACACCCTCCCACTCTCACTCGCTCACACACACACACTCACACACACTCACTCACACTCACTGACGCTCACTCACTCACACTCACACTCATACTCGCACCACTGCCGCCGTCACCACGATCCCCACCTTTCCAGGTCGCTCATGGGTCGTGCCGTCCAGGTCGCAGCGCAGCTTCTTGTTCACCCAGTGCGCTGCCTCCGTCCAGGTGCCTCGCGGCTTCGGCCCTTTCCTTCGGCCGGATGCTTCGGATGCTTCGTAATGGTTTGGCCTCGGCGTTCGCGCGTGGCCTTTGATCGATGTTTTCATCACCACTGTCACCTCTCTGGACCCTAATGCGTCCAGACCTCTAGATTTTCTGCTTGTAGACCTCACACACACACTGTTTGAGGTCTCTTGCCGGGATAGTCTTTAAACGAACTTTTGTTAGCAGACCAGTCCACAAAACAAGAAACACCTAAAAAGACAACGACCACCCCCCCTCACCTTCTCTGGTTTCCGGGACGTTGAAAACAACCAAGGGTCAAAAGCGCTCTCCATCTCTTATATATATATATATATGTATATGTATCTGTAGAAGCATTCTTAGTTTTCTGTTTTTTATTCTATTTAGTAGCCCGCAAAGCATTAAGAAACTGAACCCCTCACCTAAGTGCAAGAACGCCTGGGAAGGTGCGAGATTTAGTTTAGTTTTGCGGACTACTAAGTAAGTGTTTTGTGTTCTATATATATAGTTGTATAGAGCTTGGGCAGGCTTGGGTGCACAAACATCATCATAACTGCCATGTCATGTTTCGGCTCAAGAGCCAATAGTGGACAGGGGAGTTTCTGTCCCACCCATCCCACCCTGAGGAACGGCCTCCGGTGGAGTGTCCCTGATCCAGTGGTGGTCGCCTGACGAGCAGGGTCTCCGGAGTTTTCGGATCTGGTTGCTGTCTCATCCTGGTGTCAAGGGATGGTGCAACCAGAGGGGAAGGTCCTGAGGTTGCAGGACATACAAACGCAATATCCCGAGGGCGGGGTTGTACCATAACACGGAAGTGAGTGTGTGAGAGCGTGGAAGAGAAAGCGAGCTTGGAGTAGCACGCACTGGGAGACTTATGAGGTATATATATATATATGTTCCTTTTTGCGCTTCGATTTTTTTTAGAATTCAAACATGTCAGGAAATCTGATTTAGTTGTTTTTTTGCGTTTTGGTAGTTTTGCCAGCTACCAGAAAGAACTGTTTCTTGGAAACGATAACTATGTAGTTTTTCAAGATGTGCTTTTCTTTATTTTTGAGTTCTGTTTTGGAAACTCTGATTGCCAGAAAACATTGGAAATGAAGGATTTTAGCTTGTTAAGTGTTTTTTGGCGCACTACAAAATAGAAACAACACACTCTCTACTGTAAACAATTGCACGGCATTGTTTTGAACATACTCTTTAGTTTTGTGTCCTATTTTCGCATTTCTATATGCAAGGACACGTTGGGAAGTGAGGGATTCAGTTGTTAGCCTTCTTAGCTTTGCAGACAACAAGGTCTCCCCAAAACCAAACAGTTGGTTTGTTGCTTTGCGGAATATATTTTAAACAACATGTTTAGTTCTTTTGGTTTTTTATATTCCGCAAAACAAAAGAGACAATCTATATTTTGCTATTTTTTTGTATATGTGCCTTTGGAGATTGATATAGATATTAGTAAACCGAGAATGGTGAGGGATTTAGTTTACTCAACGGAAAAAAGGTCGGTCGATTATATATTTATCTCATACATATATCTCTATATATATATATACATAAGGCAAATGAAAACGGTTATATAGGCCGCAGCAGCTCATGAGTAAGGTCAAACAGCTACTAAAAAACATTTGTGACTCAGGAATTGGACAGTTGAAAACGTCGATCAAGGAGCTCAAGGCCACGAGACAGCACTCCTTCAACCTGAAGAGGTGACTAAAACCGGCCCGTGGGCAATTTTGCCCACACCCCAGTCCCCAGTAATAATTTCCAGAAAGTGAACAATGGCTAGATCCAAGGACTGACAATCACAGAACCGGTCCTTTAGAGAGACGATTTTTCAGTTACTGTAAAATCAATCAAACACCTTCTGTTTTGTGCTCGCTCTCCATGACCTTTTGTACCCCCAAAGGTGTACCTTTTTGAAGGTCCAAACCAATGTATTTGGCAAATACTGATCCATCACCAAACACAAGCTTTCCAAGGGGATACATAGGTGACATTGACCGACGGTTTTTGAGTCCTGGAAGATTCGTGTCAGTGAGGCCGAGATAGACCCCATTGAAGCAGAGATTGACAAAGCCGTTGAAGCAGAACAATTCGAACATGCTGAGGACCAAGGGTGCAAATGGACCCTGCAGAAAGATATATATATATGTATATATTATATATATATAAATTGAAGATAGTTCCAGTGAATAAAGGCATTACACAAAAAAAACACAACTTTCAATCACACATTTGATTTATTTTGTAAGTGGAGGTGCGTCTGGCGCTTTCAGGAGCTTGAAAACAAGCGGCTAGATCTTTCGCAAAAGCTGGAGGTATTTGAAAAGGAGCCTCAGAGCGGTCTAGGTCATGCGAATCGATCCGAGTGGTCACTGAGCGGTCCAAGTGATCTAGGTGACAGTGACCAGCTACACCGGGGCCACACCAGCCAATCCTTCTTTCACAAAGGAGCTGGATGGTCTTGAGAAAGACATGCCCAAAGAAGTTGAGGCCTTTCCACGGAATCATGATAGCGTTACAATTTGACACTGCGGTGTGATTGTCCGGTTCCCATCAAAATCCACACTTGTCCCTTGTGCCAAGAGCAGTTTGGACGGAAAGCACTTGCCATTTCACAGGCTGAAGAGGAGCCAAAAGTTGATGGAGAAGAGGCCAAGAAACTACTAGGAACAAAGGGCATCGCTACTAGTAACAAAGGGCATTACCACTAGTAGCAAATAGCTGCATAGCTACTAGTAACCACAGTCTGCGACCGAGGCCGGGACTGATGAGACCTAGGCTGCCTCCTTTTTGCCGAGTGCTTGTGACGATGTAATGTAGCGACAGGAAATGCTATGGAAAGCACGTGTAGACACACAGGAATGGAATGACACACACATAATGTTTGCTTGCTATTACATTGCCAAGGCAATGAGAAGCTGCCATTTTCCGTGTCTTTTAGGTGACTCTCTCCTGAATGGATGTGAGTCCTGTGAAGTACACCTGATGAGGTGGCGCACAGCACCAGCCACAGCTGCAAAGTCGTGTTAAAGATCGTCGTCTTGAACATCTTCCCCAGTCACAGTCCCGTTTTGGGCTATGACCATCAAAAAACAGGGACCTGCCTAGTGATTAACAAGGTCCTGTGTTGCGAACTGGCATTTGGACAGATCCTTTGATTGTCCTGCCACTAATCATTAATAAAGGTCTTGGAAATAGTTGCTACAGTTCTCAGTTTTGTTGAATGACTAATTGACCAATTGTACTATCAGATCGCCTGCGATAGTGGGTACCATGCGGCCACCGGTTTGGTGCCTAGCTGGAGTGTGTGGTTTGCGTGTTTGAGTTTGGCTCAGCTTGTGGGACTTCACGCCTTCCACACCATGTTGGGTGCCAATGAGCGCTTTGGTAAGGGCCACGACCGGCCGTTGCTACATCTTCCGGCGGAGTCTGGTTGCATACCGAGAACATGTCAGTCATGTCACCATTATCCCACTGGACTCACCAATCAAGGAAGAAGATGGTAAGTTGAAGGAATTAAGAGAAACCCTTCTGAAGAATCACGACACTTCTAAAGTAGATGAAGTGCTTAAGCCGCTTTCGACAGCAGGAGATGAGAGACCCATGTCAAGGTCTGGCTTTTTGCTTACATTGAAGTCATTGCAGTGGCTTCAGACACAAGCGAATATTCCAGTCACAGATTTAAATGAGTTTTGGGTTTTGCTGGAAGACGTTCGCAGAGAACAGACGGAGCTTTTCTTGCCGTGTCATTTAGCAGAGATCCTGTCCCTGCTTGCAAAGTGCCAGCGTCCCAGTACAGAGCTTGTCCGCTTGGTCAGCCAACGATGCCGCCGCCTCCATAAATCGTTTAGTGCAGAGGAGATTGGTAGAATTCTCCGGGCATACAGCACACTTGGATTTGCATCTGTGGGTACAATCAGCATGCTGGGTAGTCGGCTGGCCAGCCTTTTGCACGACCCGAGTGACACTGTGAAAGGATGGCACCTTGTTGCTTTAGCTGGAGCCTATCCTACTCTTCATATGTCCTGGAAGAAGTCCAAGCATCGAGACCAAGAACTCAAGATGTGGAAAGCGGTGACGGTCGCTTTGCCTCAAAAGCTCCCTGAGATGAGTGCACGACATCTCGCAGTGCTTCTCAATGCTTTTGCGCGGATGGATTTCTCGTCTTCTGGGATTCACAGCAATGTGTCGCAGATGTTTTCGGCGACGGCGAACCACTTAGTTCCTCGAATTGCTCTCAATGCAAATGCAGAATTCGTGCCCCGCGAGCTTGCTTTGATCAGCAATGCTTTTGCCAAGACTCGCGCAGTGGCTTGTACTGGGGTTGGTCCGTTGTTTAAAGCGGTGGCTTCCACTGCTATGAGTCAAATTCAACATTGCAATCAGCAAGACCTTTCAAACCTTTTCAATGCATTTGCTCAGCTCTCCATTCGAGATCCCCCTCTCTTTGATGCGGGGGCGCTCGTTGTAATTTCAAAGATAGCGGACTTCGATCCTCAGCATCTCTGCACCACAGCGCATGCCTTTGGCAAGCAACAGGTTGTGCATCAGGACATGTTTAAGAAAATTGCGGACGCGTCACTGAGATTGCTCGACCGATTCACGCCACTGCAGCTCGGCAACTTGGCTTATGGCTTTGGACGCCTACAAGTAAGACACAAGCAGCTAGTTGGGAGTCTGTCAGATGAGGTGATTTATCGTGGTACCATTGGAAAAACCTTGCAGAATGCCAGCGAAGTGTACCGTTTCGAGTTGAGAACCCTTCAAAACCTCACACAAGCTTTTTCCAGGCTCATGGTGGCTGACCACAGGCTCTACTTTGTGCTTTTTGACATGACCAGACAAAGAGTGAGGGAATTTGCAAGACGTGTGAAGGACACGGAGGCCGAACAGGATGTGAATGCTTCTGTCCATACGGTGGTGGATAAATCCCGCGTTTCTGCTGCAGCTAATCGGGGCGAAGACATTGAGATTTTGACTGGCCGTGGGCTCTCAATGATGCTGTCTGCTTTTGCGAAAAGTCAAGCCGACTTCCACAGTCTTCTCAGATGGGTTCCACACCAAGTCACATCACTTCAGGGTCAGTATTCTACCACACAGCTGGCAAATATTTTTAACTCCTGCAGCAAATTGGGCATCAAACATGCAGCCATGTATTCCGAGTTGCTGAGCAATGCTAAGCCACGAATTCCTCAGATGTCTCCAAAGTCTTTGACCATGCTTCTCCGAAGCATGTCAAGAGCGAAACTTTCCAGTCGGACGGTGATCCGACATGCGCTGAAGGTGATTTCGGCCAAAGTGGGTGATCTAAACACAATAGACCTTTGCACCGCTTTGGTGGGCTGCTCTGAGTTGAACTACCGAGATGAACGGTTTCTACGCTTGCTTGCTAGCGTGGTGCGGACTAGGATGAATGAGATGACAGGAAGCCAACTAGCCTGCGCATGTGCAGCCTATGCCCACATGCGCATCCAGCATCCTGCATGGTTTGACGCCATACTGTTTGAACTTTTTCAGAGGCAGAGCGAACTGAGTGAAAAGGATGCCACGAACGTAGCATACGCAATGTTACTTCTGGCAGCGGTGGAGAGACACGAATCTAAGGCCAATGAGGCATCGTCATATCCCTTTGACACCCATCGGGGTGTTCTCTACAGCCTGCTTGCAACTACCAACGAGCATCGGAGGGATCTCAGCTATCCAGCGATCTATCAGCTGCAAATTGTCGAGCTCTATTTGAGGCTCTTGGCACCATCTGTATATGAGGAGATGCAACAGGAACTAAAGATTATGCTTGCGAAAGCAAGAAAAGTCAGTGTTATTGTCGATGACTACATGCAGAGCTCCTCGAGACTACATCGGCGGATCTCTCAATGGTTTACGAGGGTTGGATTGGAACACCGCAGTGAGGTATTTGTGGGGCCATTTATGCTTGACATGCTAATTGGAGAGCGAGTTGTTGTCGAAGTGGACGGGCCAACTCATTTCTATCGGGACACTAATACTCGCACCGCATCGAGCTTGTTGAAAGCAAGTATGCTTCGGGCTATGGGGTTCCATGTGAAGCATCTTCCTTACCAAGAGTGGCAGCAGTGCGGGAATGCCACAAGGCGAACGATGTATTGTTCCGCCTTCTGGAAAGACGTCGTGGCAGCTCACGAGCAGGACTTTGAGGGTTTGCATCCGCGGCTTCCAGAGCTTGTTGACATTCTTGATGTCGTGGTGAGTTGGCAAACAGGTGAAGGTCCGCATCCCAGCACTGCTTTGCTTCGGGAAAGACAGCCGGCACAAAGATTGCCAGCATTCTATTCGGAGGAGAATGAGCTGGAGGAGGTGGTGGATCGAAGCCTGACAGGTCGAACACCGCAAGAGCTCCTTGCAGCGCACGAAGAGGCAGAAGCCGCCATGGCAGCTGATAGGCAGGGTGAACAGGGGTGAACATGGGTGAGCAACATCAATATATAAACTTAATGCACCCCGAAGAAACATTTTGATGGACCGGTTCATGTGGTTTTGTTTTCGGTCTAATTGTGTGAGTTGCCCTGACAGGGATCGGCAGATTACGGCTCAGCAGAGAATGTTCTTAGACCAAAGAGAAGAAAGAGATCAGGAACTTCAGGAAGAGCTCAGCAAGCTCTTTCCGAGGTCCAAGAGACGAGAGGTTCGTCATTCCACCACAGGCATCTTTGACTTTGAGTCCTTGGAGGCCGACACGGATAGCTCAGATGATGAGTTCGAGACTCAAAAGTGCGGCGAACTCGCCGTCGGCTTTTTGCGAACGAACGATGAGTTCGTATGATGTTCAATTTCCTTGAGAACGTAGACACATGTCACAGCTGAAGTATATGAGGAATTCGTGTGTGATCGGCTCAAAGCAGCATTCCACATGTAGCATTGTAGCATTCCGCGGTTCACTCCGAGAAGAAGCATTGCCCACTGCCCAACTGCCCTCAGGGCCTCCCCGCGAGTTCCCCTCACCTCCCCTTCGCCCTTCGCACCTGTGGCCATGGCTGGTCGACTCTTTGGGTCTGCAGCCGTGAGCTCAGTTCGACAAGGCCATCACTCTGAGAGCCTTGTTTTTCAGTCCGCCCTTGCTTAATTGAGTAGGCGCCTACTTGGGAGTAGCTCGCCACAAGCTAATAATAGGAAGCTCCTAGCCAGGACGCAGGGCCAGGACGCAGGATAGCTCATGCTTCTTCAAGGAAGCCACCCCCGCCGGAGGGCGCGGGGGAGCTTCCCTGAAGAAGCGCTTGCACCAAAGATTTGGTTCTTAGATTTTTAGGAAAACTATATTACAAATTCATTCGATAAAGCATGATACAACAACATCATGAAGGATCTTCATAGCTCTTCAAGATCTCTTCTTCTATGCCCAAATTTGATATGAGCTCGTTGGTTCGATGCCTTTGGCCGCATTGTGCAAAGTGTACAAGATGCATTGACAAACCATGTTCAATATACAATGATATAGGGTCTAGATGAGTCCTGGGATATACTTTTTTGTACAAGTTGTATTTTCACCTGCAAAGCAACCAACAGTTGCAGTTTTCACAGATTTAGACAGAAGGAACACTTTGGACGCATAGGCAGTAATCGACACCTGAACACCTACTAGTAGCAAGTGCATTACTACTAGTAGCTCGAAGCTACCACTAGCTTCTAGCTACTAGTAGCAATGCACTTGCTACTAGTGGCGATGCACTTGTTACTATGCAGCGGATTTCTCAGGTCCAAAGTGTTCAAGGACGGCCCGCTCGAGGGAAGGGCAAGGCACAGCGCTCGTTCACGAGTGTTGACCGGTCGAAATGTCGGAACACAGAACGAATCAAACGTCCATTTTACCATTGCAATGGGACTCTTGATGAATTGTCGAGCTCCTGTCGGGGCTTGCAAAGGTTTGCAATTGCACAGAATTGTTCTTTTTTGCCAGGGCAATTTGGGCACGAGGGCAGTGATTCCGAAAATCGTGAAAGGTGTCAGACACCAAGAAGATTCTCAGACACATGCCTGACAATGGGAAATTGGCAACCGTTCTTTTTCTTGCATCGTGTTGAAAAGAAACTTAGCAGTCGATTACTAGAATCTTCCCAACCTGCTTGAAGACCACCAATACCAAGGCCTCTGCTGATGTGACGGACGGCAACTCAGACGACTCCGAGATGTTTGACAGCAACATGGAGAGGTTTCTTTTGGCTCAGGTTCGGGGGCGCGGAACTCATATGTATGGAGGCCCTCCCAAAAGTCGCAGGAAATGATTGTACAAAGTTTCATCGTCCCACGATCCTACATCGATTCTGTATCCAGGTGGTGGCATGGGTGGAAGAAGCCCAGCACTGACTGCAGGCGAATGTTGCCGCTGAAGTCCCGTCGTGGAGGGCGGAGCAGTTATATCGCGCCTGGAGTCTGCCCGAACGAAGCGGCAGGCAACTATGAAAGCTTTGGGGGGTGAATATTCCGCAGGTGGAATGCTCAGTTTACGGCACTCCAAGAAATCACAGAATCAGAGCAAGGTCGCTATGAGTAGCTCCTGGCCTTTCTACTAGGAACAAGAAGCTACCAGGAACAAAGGGCATCGCTACAAGGAGCAAGGACGCCATCAGTAGCTCCTGGCCTTACTACTAGGAACAAGAAGCTACTAGGAACAAAGGGCATCACTACTAGGAGCAAGGACGCTATTAGTAGCTCCTGGCCTTACTATCAGGAGCTTCTAGGAACAAAGGGCATCGCTACTAGGAGCAAGGATCGCTATTAGTAGCTCCTGGCCCTACTACTAGGAACAAGAAGCTACTAGGAACAAAGGGCATTTCTACTAGGAGCAAGGTCGCTATGAGTAGCTCCTGGCCCTACTACTAGGAACAAGAAGCTACTAGGAACAAAGGGCATCGCTACTAGAGCAAGCATGCTTTTAGTAGCTCCTGGCCTTACTACTAGGAACAAGAAGCAACTAGGACCAAAGGGCATCGCTACTAGGAGCAAGGACGCCATTAGTAGCTCCTGGTCTTACTACTAGGAACAAGAAGCTACTAGGAACAAAGGGGATCGCTACTAGGAGCAAGGACGCTACTAGCAGCTCCTGGCCTTACTACTATGAACAAGAAGCTACTAGGAACAAAGG